TAAAATTATTAAATATTTTATTTTATAAAACTTAATAATTATTGCAAGTCATAAAAATATTAAACATTCATTATTTTAAAACATTAAAAAAAATGTGCAAAAACAAAACCGGAATAACGATTAGTTGTACTGTTGATTGTTGCGAAAGTTTTGCCATATATGTTCAACCAAATCAGCTTTCAATTGTTGATGCATATCTCGATGACGAACTCAATTTCGAATGCCATTATATTCCCAAGATTTGTAGGCATACTTCGATAAGTTTAATATCTTTGGTTAAACAAATGTGTATAAGTTTCAGAAATTTAAAATACAATGTTCATGATCAAGAATAGAAACTGATCTTATAGAACATTGCTACTTAATACGTACATTTACAGATTGTATATGTCCGTATTATACCAAAAACCTCATGTATCTTTACATCAAACTGCTTCAAATCTAAATACAAAAACAAAAAGAACATCACTAGAGACGATTTATAAAAGAACATTTATAAATTGTATATGTCCGTATTATACAAAAAAGGAGATCATCGATCATAGTCATCATCTCCTTTAAACAAAAGCTTCTCATCTTCTGTAGATCATAAGGAAGAGTCTAGAGCAGGAGCATCCTTTCATGATTCCGAGTCTTTTACAGGAAGAAGAGAACATGTCCCATGGAACATCACCAACCAACATCCAATCTCCATCTTTATCCTCGTACGTTGGTACAAATCCAATCTCCATCACCATAACCTTTCTTTTTCCTACTACCTTCTCTAATAAAGAACCACCAAAATATCACTAAACCAACACAGAAAGATCCAACAGCTTGAAGATAACATGTTTACATTTTACACCTCATTTTTTATTCAACATGTACATTCTATACTAATCTACTTTTTAATCACTCAACATTAAGTAAAGATATCACAATATGCAGAGATAATAAAAGAACCAAATCCAATGAATGGCACTAAATAAAGGACGTTGAAAAATCACGAGAATCATATCTACTACATTACACATTAACTTCTTCCTTATCTGTTCATAACAAATTCCATATTATTTAACCATCTTCTATTGATAAAATCCATTGTCTATGGTATTAAAACATGAATCATACCTGTGGAAGATCAAACTTGAGACCTTGAGTAGCAGAAAGACCAGAAAGATCATGCTCCATATACTCAAAAACAAGGTAGAGACTACACGAAACCCGGAAAGTAACCAAACATTAGGATGATTAAGCCGTCGCAACACAAGAATCTCTCTAGCCATGAATCACTCTCTGCTTCCAAATTATCAAACCTAACTTTCTTCAAAACTACAATCTTCCCAGTCAATAAATTTTTCGCCTTGTACACATTACTATAAGTTCCTTGCCCAATCTATAAGAATAAAAAACATTACATCATTCAAATAAACCAAACATAGAACTAATCAAAAAACAAAACAAAAGACTTCCTAATTATACCAAACCTTGTAATGATTATACTTAAATTGAATGATTAGTGTTTTGTTACCTTCTCGAGCTTTTCGTATGTGGTGGCTCTGCGAGGTGTTAAGTCTTTGATCGAATCGCCGCAAGCAGAAATCAGCCACGGTGGCCATCCTTCCGGCATACGGAGGCTCATCCCCGGCCGGCGAGAAGAGCCCGCGGAGAAATCGCCAGTGTGCCATGTTCTCGCCGGCTGAATCTGAATCGAATCTAAACCCTTCTTCTCCTCTCCGATTTCGACTACCTCCGGTACAGAAACAACGGCGGTGGTGGTTGAACGTCTGTCCA